AAGCATCATTTTATTGTTTATTGTTCATTTGTATAACTTATTTTGTCTAGCGTCTGCTCAAGTCTTTTGCTTATTTTAAAAATTGGGTTGTTTACTTTTTTACTATTTATTTGTCCTTTGTGAAGTATATGTGTTGTGAATGTTTTTTTCCAGTCTGTGGTTCATCTATTCATTTTCTTAGTGATGTCTCTTATGGACAGCAATTTCTTATTTTGATGAAATTCAATGTATCCCTTTTAAATTTTAGGGAGTGGTAGGCAGAGAAGCCCCTCCCTGACAACAAGTATCTATGTCCTAATCCTCAGAAACTATGAATCGATGGCATTACATGGCAAAAGAGACTTTACAGATGTGATTATGGGATCTTCAGATGGATCATGCGGATGGGCTCAATCTATCACAGAGGCCCTTGAAAGTAGAAGACGAAGGCCTTAGGGTGAATCATAAAGATATAACAATGGAAGAAGAGGCAGGAGAGATTCAAAGCATGGAAGGCCACTAGACCTGCCACTGCCAGCTTTGAAGATGGAGGCAGAGGGCTATAAGCCCACAAGAGGAATGTGAGTGGTCTCTATGAGCTGGGAGCGGGCCTTAACTGATAGCTAGCAAAAAACTGGGGTCCTAAAATTTAAAACCACTAGCAACTGAATTCTGTCAACGACGTGAATGAGCAAGGAAATTGATAGGAACAGGCCCTAGAGGCCTTCTAAATAAATCCAGCCCTGCTAACGCTGATTTTGGTGTTGTGAGACTCTACGCAAAGACCCAGTGAGTACACTGGATTTCTAATCTAAGGGAACTGTAAGATCACATATTTGTATTGCTTTAACATGCTAAATTTGTGGTAATTTGTTATGGCAGCAGTAGCAAACTAAAACAAAGTGCTTTTTGTGCTCTGTCCAAATCTATGCCTACCCTGAGTTTGAAAGTTCTCCTATTTTTCTTCTAGAGGCTTCAAGGTTTTATTACTATTTTAAGTTCTCTGTTTCTTCCATTACATCTGCCTCAACAGGAATCCCCTAATTTGACTGATCTACTTGTCTCTCCTTTAAGTTACAAAGTACCCTTAAGTGACCTGTGGCTTCTCTCTACTTGCCCTTTTATCAGGTGTGAGTTTTCTTGACACCTATGCAAGGTAGGAATATTCAGGTCTTTCAGGCAGTAACGATGGCAGATGGACTAAGGTACAGCAGGTGACCAAAGGCTGAGAAGACTGAGATTACCTTAAGGGCTGATGGTCCCATGGCCACCTTCAGAACATGCCTTCCTACAAGGGACATTCTCTCCTGGCCTCCTCCCACAACCCAGCCTATCTAAATTTCAACCAGGGTTTGATTCCTGGCTCAAGTTCCATAGCTTCCATTATAAGTTTTCTCTGAGCAGCCTGCAGGCTCACTTATGTCACTCATTTGGCATATTTCCATAGAAACCACACACCTCTGATGTGTAAGCCTTGTCTCTCCAACCTGATCATCTGTAATCCCAGCTGACTAAACGCTAAATAAATGCTGTTGAGGTAAACTGCATACATTTGATTCGACAATGCTATATTCAAGAGTATATCCTAAGGAAATAATCAGCAAAATGTATGAAAGATCTATACATAAATACATTCACTGTGATGGTGTTTATAATGGCAAATTGGGAAGAACCTGAAAGTCGAACAGCTGGCTAAAGTAAGTATGGCACAGCGCTATTAGAGACTCTATGAAGGCATTTAAAATGATGAAGCAGACCCCATACATATTTAAAAAGATGTTTTGCTACATGAAAAAAGAATGTCAAGAGCACTATGACGACATGTTTGGAAATAATTCCATCACTTCCACAACCAAAAATCATGAAAAATCTCCATACAGTACTCTGTGAGGGTCAAACATATATACTTGGAAGGATATATACCAAAGTGATAACTGACTACCTCGCTGCAATAAAGTTTGCTTTTTCTTCAACATTTTCTGTATTGAAAGTTTTACAATGAACATACATTTTTTAAATTTAAAATTTTTATTTTAAAAGTCAACACATTTGTCCATTCAATAATTCAGCTCCTGCTCCTTTTTTTTTTTTGAGATGGAGTCTTGCTCTGTCGCCCAGGCTGGAGTGCAGTGGCGCCACCTCGGCTCACTGCAAGCTCCACCTCCCAGGTTCACGCCATTCTCCTGCCTCAGCCTCCCGAGTAGCTGGGACTACAGGCGCCGCCACCTCGCCCGGCTAATTTTTTTGTATTTTTAGTAGAGATGGGGTTTCACCGTGTTAGCCAGGATGGTCTCAATCTCCTGACCTTGTGATCCACCCGCCTCGGCCTCCCACAGTGCTGGGATTACAGGCATGAGCCACCGCACCTGGCTCCTCCCTTTTTAAAAAACTGGGGTAAAATTCACTTTACATAAAACTCATCCTTACTTTTTAAAGCAGTTTCTTCCTCCATGTGCCCAATTAACATGACTATATTACTGTTTTCCGTTCACCAGATTCAGAAATGTCCTGATTTCTTTTAGAGGGGATGAGGATTTTTAACTCAATTATACCAACTGTCATCCTCTCTCCATATGCAATCATTTTAGCTCAATTTTGTTAAATCCACATTGTCATGATGAAAGTTAAGCACGTATTACTCATTAAAAACCATGTGGGATTCCTTCCACCTCCCTCTTGTGATGACCCTGTTTCCTGGATCCCATGACTTCTTTGCTTAGTGTGGTCCCTCTTTAGGATGGGAACACATCCTCCACTAGCTTCCGGAGAAAAGAATGCAGGGGAAGTAAATTTTTGCTGTACAACTCTGTGCAGCTGAAACAAGTTCCTTCCTACCCTCACATTTGACTGATAGTCTGGTTGGGCAGAGAATTCTGGGTTGAAAATATAATTAAAGGTGTTGTCTCACTGTCTTCCAGTTTCCAGTGTCCCTGAGACATTCCATGCCAGTTTTATTCCTGATCCTTGGGTATGATCTGTTTTATTTTCTTCCTGGAACTTTTTAGGATCTTCATTTTATTCTCTATGATCTGAAATTTCACCACAGCATATCTTGCTATGGGTCTCTCTCATCGTTGTGCTGGGCCTTGGTAGACATTTTTAACCTACAGACACATTCTTCAGTTCTCGGAGATTTCCTCTTTCTTTGCATTTCCTCCCTTACATTCTCTTCTGTTTTTTCTTCTAAATATTGGGCCTTCTGGATTTACTCTCAAAATTTCCATTTCTATTTCTTACCCATTTTCTATTTTGTTTTTAAAATCTTACTTTCTGGAAGAATTCCTTGACCAACTTCCAAACTTTACAGAATTTTTTAAATTTTGTCTATCATATTTTAAATATCTAAGATTGTTCTTGTTCTTCAATTGTTCTTTTTACCTTTATAGTGTCCTGGTTTTGTTTTATAGATATACTATGTTTTCTTGAGTATATAAATTATAATTCTTTTTTTTTTTTTTTTTCGAGACAGAGTTTCGCTCTGTTGCCCAGGCTGGAGTGCAATGGTGCAATCTCGGCTCACTGCAACCTCCACCTCCTGGCTTCAAGCTATTCCCGTGCCTAAGCCTCCTGAGTAGCTGGGATTACAGGCACCCGCCATCATGCCTGCCTAATTTTTGTATTTTTGTAGACACAGGGTTTCACCATGTTGGCCAGGCTGGTCTTGAACTCCTGACCTCAGGTGATCCGCCCACCTCGGCCTCCCAAACTGCTGGGATTACAGGAGTGAGCCACCACACCTGGCCAACATAAATTATAATTTCTTTGGAACTTTCTGCAATGTCTCAGTTTCTTCCAAATTCTATTTTTTGTTTCTTTTTCATTATTATTTTTTAGAGACAGGGCATCCCTCTGTGGCCCAATCATAACTCGCTGCAGTCTCAAACTCCTAGGCACAAGGGCGCCCTCCACCTCAGCCTCCTCAGTAGCTGGGAATACAGGTGTGTGCCACCACAGCCAGGTACGTTTTTTTTTTTTTTTTCTTTTTTTTTAGAAACAGGGTCTTGCTATGTTGCCCAGGCTGCTCTCAAACTCCTGGCCTCAAGCAGTCCTCCTGGCTTAGCCTCTCAAAGTGCTAGGATTACAGATGTGAGCTCCTGTACCCGGCCAGTAGTGTACTTACACTTTTAAGGGTTTTGCAATTTGTCCAAGTCTTTTGGGGCTGGGGGGTGCTTAACCACCTTGATCTTCTTTGTCTCTCAAACAAGCAGTAGAATCCTCATGTAGCACAGGAGGAAACTGTTCCAGCAAGGTCGAGTGGCAGGCTCAAGGCCACGTGGTTAGCCTGGCATGGTCAAGGCTGGAATCCAGGTCATCTGACTCCCCAGGAGGTGCCTCTTTTATGTCACATCACCTCTTGGACATTGGTGCCAGGCCACCAACTCATGTTGACTAAGGAATGGGAAAAGGGGAGCGGAGTGCTGGGTAGCACTGGGCTCTGATGGAGAGGCGTCTCAGGCCTCTGGGTAAGCACAGGGATGCCACGCATCACTGACCCCAGACTCAGCACATTCTGATCCACTTTTCAGTATATTCTTATTTGATCCTGAGAAACACAGCACGCAGGTGCCAGTGCTGCCTTTTATACAACAGGGAACTGAGGGCTGGAGAGTGAAACTCAGCCAACACAAGGCCTTGCAGCCGGGGGCAACAAAGCTGAACTCTACGTCCGGTTTGGCCAGCCCCTCCTTCCCTTTCTCCCATTGGGGTGGGGGTAGGGAGGGCCCTGTTGACAGCTCTAGGTGGGCTCACCTCCCTGTCCCCAGCCCCCTGTGCAGAGCACACCCCCAAGGGAGCGGGCCCCACGCTGAGGAGCCAGGAACCTGTGGGCACAGAGCCTCCGAGGTGCCTTCCCGTCCACAGAAGTTGACAGCTGTGAGGGCCCCGCCGTCTCAGAAACACTGCGGCAGTGGCGGCGGCAGCAGCAAGCTCTCTGAGACGAGCCCATGCGCTGGTGGTCGTGTTTTTGTGTTCATTTTTAAGTAAAATATTTTTTGAGACAAAAAACAATGAAAGATACCTACCTAAGCTAAATTCTAAAATGGGCTCATCTGGGTCCTGTATATTTCCTGAATAGAAGAGAAATGACAGAAAAATCACCCTTAATAAACTTTTCCCTGTTTTCAGATTAAATGCACAAATAACCCTCTACTTTCCCCCAACAACAACAACAACAACAACAACAACAACAAAAACTGCCATGCAAGACAATTTCTTTATTTTAAAAATACTTTGTTTTTGAGATTGCTAAGAAGCCCCTGACCCCACAGCCAAACCCCTGCTTCTCCTGGGATCTACACATCCACAACAGGGAGGGCTTTTACCTCTGCCTGGGCGTGAGCCAGCCAGACACTTGGACATTCCCACACTACCCTGCTGGTGCCCCCCACCACACTGGAAAACGAATGTAGTCAGGCTCCAGCAGAAGCGGTTCACAGGAAGAGGGCTGATGCCCCCCTTCCCTATTTCCTCATTCAACCAAAAGGATGCCAAACCAGGGTACCCTGTAGTCTAGGGTAGTCGTGGGGACTCATCGGGTCCCTCCCAGCACTGCCACAGTGTGGAGCCCACGCGCTGTGAGCTCATACCTGGAGCCCGGTGCAGGCCCTGTGAGGCTCACCTGCCAGAGAGAGGCCCAGCATGTCGGCCGCCACGTCGATGGTGGAAGCCCGCTGCACCGCACGGGCCCTGGCGCCATGGCGAGGGCTGTGCTCTCTTGCTGTCATGATGTCATTGATCCTGGATCAGACCACGCCTGATTACCCGGGAAGCCTTGGCACCGAGCCCTAGTCCGCTAAAGTGGCAGTAGCCCTGAGAAAAGGAGCACTGGTAAGAAATCAGGGGGATGGTGACGAGAGAAACCATGCTCTCATTTAGAAAGAACGTGACCTAACAGGGGCAAGGTACAGGGACAGGGTTCCCCAGCATGTGAGGAACCGGGGTGGACCGTCCGCTGCTCCCCGCCCCTTCCGGTCACTTCTTCCTCCCCACTTCCCAACACAGGGTGTCCATGGGATCGCTTGAGGATGTCCTGTCCTCTTCAATGGAGATATGCCACAGTGAATGACGGTTTTCATATAATCATAAAATATGGCTTTTGAGATTTTCTTGTTCTCTTTATTATGCTCTTCTGTTGGCAAGTCTTGTAGAACCTTTAAAAATTTAAATCAATTCAACACAGCCTCTGTGACAAGGGTAAGGGCTGCAGAAGAGTCTGCTGCCCACGGGTTACATAGAGGTGGCAAAACACTAGCGGGACGAAGCTCAAAACTCTAGCCTGCTGGCTTTCTTCCCGGAGCTGCATAAACTTCACGTGTCTGGGTCTCAGGCTTTGCTTCCCGCAAAGCACGTAATCTAGGCCTAAGCGAAGTGGGGGGTGCTGTGCTGTGGAAAGGGAGGGTTCTGGGTAAAACACTGCCACAGGCTGAGTCAGACGCTTCACATGGCTCCGAGCTCCAGAGCTCACACTCTGCTCTCAGAACTAGGTTAAGCAGCAAGAAGGGAGTTTCAGGTTTTTCCAACCCTATGTGCTACAACTCCTGCTGTCTCTAGAAAGAACCAACCTTTAGAAGTTAAGATAATTAGACTGAGCAATAAGCCTGGTTTAAACACTGTCTCAGGGGTCTTCCTATTTCCAGAGACAGCCCTGCCTTCTCAAACAGTGTCCACGCCCTGTGCCTGAAGGACCTGGGCGCCTGTCCTTGGGTTAATTCACCAAACAACTTACTGGACATGTTTGCTCTCGGACCATGTGGCATTTCTTCATGGAAGCACGTCCAAATCCATCATCTAAAAATAAGAAAGCGAAAACTTAACAAGCTGCTCAAACATGAAGTTCCTGAGACTGCAATGCCTGGAAACGTGGAGAGGCCAAGAGCTAATCCACGTTTGTTTGAGCTCCACATCCCAATCCAACCTTCTGGCTCAGAAATACAAGTTTTGCCCAAACCCAAAATGAATGAGAAAGAGAAAGCACATCTGCCTCTCCCCTGCAGGGCTGATCTGTTGGGGGAGTCTGGGCCTGTCCTAAAGAGCCAAGTGGGCAGCTGGGTGTGGTTTAGGGAGATGAGGAGATGAGAATCTGAGACCAGTTTCCCCACTCACAAACTACAGGCCCTGGGAGAAGCAGCAGGGCTCTCTAAGGCCCTGCCCTTCGGGATGGATGGGCTGCACCCATCTCATGGGGGCTGCAATGAAAACCAATGTGCATGAACAGGAGAGGGCTCTGCAAACTCCACTAGGCTCCCACAATACTGCTGCTGCTGGGCCCCCAGGCCCCAGCCAGCCTCAGCACCACAGGGGCTGTTAGGCAGGCCTCAGGGCTTGGCTCATGAGCCATCCCTCTCAAAGCACCAGGGTCGGGGAATCAGATGACAGCAAGAGCAGAGTGCTTAGCCCAAGGCCGACTCAGTGTCTGTTGCAGGCTGTGCTCCTATCCCTCCCATTAGGGGTGCCCAGGGACCTTCAGCCTGGGCATCTCCGCAGGCAGGGCAGTGTCCTGGTCGGGGAGCCACAATAAAAATCGCCAAGGGGAAGATTTGCTGGTGAACGTCAAAGGCACACAAGTGAAGCAATATGCAATGTGACTGGTAAAACAGGAAAGTGCTTACCATACTAACATCTGCTTTTTACAGTAATGCTTGTACACATTAACAAAACACTCACCAAAATGCAAGTGGCAAAAGGTAGGAATTCATAAATGAGGAACACACGTGGTAAACATTTTGAAAAAGTGACCAAACTCATTTAAGTAACACAATGCTAAATATGCTTTCCTTCACCTAAATTAGTCCTCCTAAAGAGTTTTGTTTGTTCTTTAATGAGAATACACATTGCTGGAGGACCTGGGGGAAGCTGTCTAGGACTCTCCTACATTGTTAGTCCATCTTAGAGTACTTCAAACATTCAGAAAGCCATCTGGCATTAATGATCAAAATGTGTAAATGATAACAAAACTCTTGCCAATATCTAGAACACGGAAAAGACTACTGGGTAAAAATGCTTATTGTAGCATTACTTATAATAATAAAGCAATCCAAATGTCCAGCTACAGGTAAGAAAAGAATGTTCTGGAACATCCATAAGACACACTATTATCTGGCTATCAAAATGATCATAATATAGCCAATAGACACATAAAAAGTTATTCAACCCCATGCGTCATGAGAGAAATGCAAACTGAAACCATGAGATACCTCTGCACAAGCACTAGAACAGCAAAAATGACACAGACCAACAATACCAAGTGTTGATGAGGATGTGAAGTAACTGGAAGTGACACTCTACTGGTAGAGCGTAAGTAGTCACCCAGGCTGGAAAACTGGCCGTCTCTACTTAAGTTGAACATACACCTACCCTGTGACCTGGCATACAACTCAGACTGGCAGCTGCGAACAGAAACGCACACTTATGCTCACCAAAAGCCTGTAGAGAAGGTTTGGAGCAGCAACGTTCACAGGAGTAAGATACTAGAGACAACCTAAATGTTCATCAACAGAACAGATGAAACAATGGGATGAGTCTCAGAAACAACGTCAAGGGGAAAAGTTAAGACCGTTCCAGGCAAATCCATTCATATGAAGTTCAAGCACAGGCCAAACGAATCTGTGGCGTTTGGAGTATGGAGAGTGGTCTCCTGAAGGGGTGGGTACTGACTGGGGAGAGTGAGAGGGCTTCTGGGGCTCTGGAAATGATCTGGGTGTGACTTACACACAGACTTTACTGTGTGAAATTCACTGAGCTCTACGCAGGTGATTTTTATACCCCAATACAAAGTGTATACAAGACAGCATAGCAAAAAAAAAAAAAAAAAAAAAAACCACTTACGTCAGTTCTGCATCATGTGTTTTTAAAGAAATAGCCCACCTTTGCTCTGTTTGCAGCCGTTTAAAGAGATACTGCACAGAGGGGAGAGCCAGCAGGAGGCTGCATCAAGACGACAGCCATGCTGGGGGTGTGATCATGGGGAACTGTCTTCCTCCTTCTCTAACGGCCGTCCTCTTGTGTCACTGAAGATTGCGCCCCATGCTGGCCAGAGGCAGGGCAGCATCCCAGGCATGATTTCAGCTAGAAGAAAGGGCTCCTCTCTTCTGAACCTCTTTCCAGTGTCTCCAGCCTTCCATTGCCTGCCTTGCCGCCCAGCTCAGCCTGCTAGTGAAGGTGTCCGTCACCCCCTTCGGTTGCGACAGTGGAGACAGGCCACCTAACAGAGGGACACATCTGTACCCCAACATCCTGCCAGCCCACCCCTTTCCACCCTTCCCCGCAGGGTCCCTGCCCACTCTACCTGCCTGCTCTGCCCTTAGGAGGGTGGTTTGTATCTTAGGCGCGGTGAGGTTTCTGGAGATAGAAATGCTTCACGGGGTACATCTACAAACCAATTTTACACCTGAGAGAGTTCACAGGCCACAGAAACTTTTAGGTCAAAAAGACCTTAGAAGCACTTCGTAATTATTTGGGGACATTTAATTAGAATCTGCAATTTAAGTCATCAAGGCCCAGAACGCAAAGCTAATTTGCTCAGCTGAACGTGATTTCTCTTCTTGGTCTCATTAATATAAGGTAATTCACCAAGGATTCTTCCATTCCCAAGGTCCTTGTTTTGCCTCCCAGCTCCATTTGAAGACCAGAGCTCATGAAGAGGAAAAACTGCACTTAAGTAGAAGAGGAGACAGACTGTGTGGGAGCTGCCTACGGGGTTGGAATTTTTTCTTGGTGTCAAGAAAAAAAAAAAGCAATAACCCAAGAAGTGAGCAGCTCCCATTCCTCACGCTGTGCAGTCACGTGACCCCTCCAACAAGCGGCAGCGGGACATCAAGTGGACAGCAAACCCTGAGGTTCTATTCCACTTCCCATGATGTCCGTTCCAGCCACGGGGGGCAGGGAAAGGGGTGGTGGAGAGGGCACTGGCAGGACGGGAGGGGTGTTAGGATTCACACAGGACCAGTGAAGTGGCAAGGCCTTCAGCAGCAGCCCTGGGAAAGGTTTGCCAGAGGCCTAGAGGGAGGACTGCAGGCCCCTCCGCCCCAGGAACCTCTCAGGCTCCCCTGAGCTGGAGTTGAGGGGCGAGGATTAACACGTCAGAGCTCCACTTTTGCTTATTCATTGGGGTTCTTCTAACAATAATTTTTAAAAGGAGTTGCACAGATGAGGTCACGGAGCTCAGACACAGTGATTTTTTTCAAAGTTGCATGGAGATGAAGGATGAACTATCGTTATCAACCCAAAGAAAAAGCCCAGGTGCAATGGGGCCCCTCTCCCTGCCCTACCCACCGGACCCTGTCCTACCCCACCCCGTCCTACCCACCACAGCCTACTGCTGTCACCGCGGCAGCAAATGGGCTGAGAAGCTTCACTGTGCCTCTACTCTCCAAACACAGGCAGCACGAGAGAAAGTAAAATGAAAGGCTGGCATGAAGCTGACCATGAGTCAGGAGCCCCTAAAAAAGAGGCTACTTTACAGGGGCAGAAAGAGGAAAGACTTACTCTCAGAAACCCCAAATCCAGGACAGCCAAAATCATAGACCAGTGAGGTGTCACACCATTCACTGGCACTGAAAGTTACTATTAATAATAACCTCAGAGAGACAAATATCACCTTCCTGCAGACAGACGGGAAGGATACTGCAAAGGATGCGGACGAACCTCCAGCCGGAAGAGGTGCATAGGGCAAGGCATGTGGGAAGGGCGTGGAGCTGCCCTGCCTGCCCTGTGTGCCACTCCCCAGGAACCTCTGCATGCTCAGCTATCCAAAAGCTCCCAGAACTCAGTCCTTTGGAGGTTTGGGGTTTTGTACTTTTTTTCCCCCTTCAGCTTTTAGAGACAGGGTCTTGCTCTGTCTCCTAGGCTGGAGTGCAATGATGTAAGGCTTACTGTAGCCTCGAACTCCTGGGCTCAAGCCATCCACCCATCTCAGCCTCCTGAGCAGCTGGGACTACACGTGTGTGCCACCAAATCTGGATAATAATTAATTTTTTAAAATTACAGATGGGGTCTATGTTGTCCAGGCTGGTCTCAAACTCCTGACCTCAAGCAATAATCCCACCCTGACCTCCCAAAGTGGTGGGATTACAGGTGTGAGCCCTAACACCTGGCCTCCTTTGGGGTCTTTCATGAAAGCTTCATTATAGACATAATTGACTAAATCACTGGCCATTGATCTACAGGCTCAACCTTCAGCCTCTCTCCCCTCCCCAGAGGTGGGAGGGTGAAGACTGTAAATTCCAGCCCTCTCATCATGGGATTGGTTACCCTGGCAACCAGCCAATCCTAGAGCAATCTAAGAGCCCCCAGCCACCAGTCATCTCACTAGCATACAAAGACACTCCTATCACTCCAGAGATTCTAAGAATACCTCAGGAAAAGAGGGAGGAAGACCAAATACAGATTTCACAATGCCACCCCCCCCAACTCCTGGTGGGGCTCAGGACACCCGGAACACATCCCCTGATCCTCCCCTACTCCCAATGTTCCCGAGGCCAGCCTTGGACCTCACCACTCTGGACACTCTATGGTGTGAGATGGCTTTAATGTCAAGATGATGGGTTCACTGAAGTGGCTCTACTAGAGCTGCTAATCCAACCTAGAGAGAAAATGTGACCCAATCTCAACCACAGTGTCCCAGACCAGCTCTGTTTCCATAGGTCCCCTAGAGCCAGGTGGAAACTGAGCCTACCCAGAGCTCTACTCAGACCTTGTTTACACCTAACAGGGGTCCTGAGACCCTTGGGGACTTCAGGGCCACCAATTCTTGAAGCCCAGCAAATAAGAGAATGGGCATCTAGGAGGAT